GGTCGTGTATGGTCTTGAGCTCACGAAGAGCTCCCCGGGGCGTCTCTTCCCTCTTCATGATTTTCCGATCTTTTTCTTTCAACGCGTGAGACAGGAAGTTCCAAGCGTGGAATACGAGCTTTNGTACAGATGATTCATGGTCGTGTATGGTCTTGAGCTCACGAAGAGCTCCCCGGGGCGTCTCTGCCCTCTTCATGATTTTCCGATCTTTTTCTTTCAACGCGTGAGACAGGAAGTTCCACGCGTGGAATGCGAGCTCTACTTGCTCGCTCCGGTACTGCTGTGACAGCGAAAACTTGCTCTTTCCGCTGTTGACGGGGATCTTCAAGCTCCCGCTCTCTTCAAATTGTTCCAACAGGTTTGCCCCATCAGCTGCCTTACGGAAATCATTTGCCATTCGTTGAAATCTTTCGATTTGCCGCTGAACGGAGCAGAAGTGTACCGCACACTTTGGTACCCCGTCGCTGGGGTTGTGGCTGCGTATCCAAAGCCAACAGCAGCACCACCATCTCCCATGGCACTACCATAATCTTGGTTGTGAGCAGCGGCTACTCTCACCTCTTGGGGGGCAATGCCTCCTGCTTCGCCGCTGTGTCGCCCTGACGGCCAGACTCTCGAACAAGGTTCGCGCAGGTACCTCCCGTCCTGCGCACTCCCGGTCCACGGTGCCCCTCCTTCGGCGTTCGTGGACTCCGCGGCGGCGCTCTCCCTAGCATCGCCGCGATCAGCGGCACCTTCCATGGTGCCAGCTGGCTCCTCCTTCTTGTGTGCCTTCATCGTATCTTCCACTAGCGACATTAGCTGGCTCATCTGATCCGTCAGCGAGCTAACTTGCGTCCTCAGGACCACGAGCTCTTCTCTTGGCCTCTTTCTGTCTTCCGCCGCAGAGTCGCTGGAGGAGTCACCCCCATCTTTGCGACCTGACATTCCTAATGGACTCTCCCTCGAGGGACTGACACTAGTGTGTTCGAAATGTGCTTTACTTGGAAGGGGACGACGTTTTATCTGTTGTATTAGACACGCAAGGGGAGTAGGGAGAAGTGAAGCCCTCTTTGGAGGTCGAGGGGTCCCCGCACATGCAACAATTTCAAGGTGTACATATGCCCCATCTGCGTGCCCTCTGTTGTTGCCGGTGTATCTAACCGGTCCGTATGCAAACACACGAACAGTTGTTTTTCCAACGCTACCCCGGGGGGAAGCCCCCCCCCGCGGGGTTGTGCAAAATAGTGATGGTCCACACACCAAACACACAGTGAGTGGCGAAACTGAGATGGATAAGGTTTACGAGCAAGCCTTCAACAAGCACAGGGATGAGGAACGTAAGAGCAACTAAGGCGAAGAGAAAAAATACAGTGAGGACAGCAGCTCAGGGAGTTTGTCTCGTCCCGCAAGTGATTCCAAGAAGAGGAAGGGCCCGCCTTCCAGTGACAAACGGTACACCTATATCTCGCTCGAAGCGCAGGACTGCACATGATTTGTCCGTCTCACATCATGCTTTATGTGCTCCGCGATGCAAGAAAATCGACTCAGAAAATGAGAGAAATGCATCACCCCCGAGGGGAACTCGTGGGAAAACTCGTACCCCGGGGGGAAATTGAAAAACCCGGGGGGAACTTTTTTGGGGGGGTCGAAAACGATCTACCCCGGGGCTAAATCAAAGAAATCATGCTTCCAGGCCGAAAAGGTAGTGGGGGGAGGGGAAAACTCTATCTACTGGGGGGGGGGAAACTCCGACGTAAACGGCGTCCCCGGCACATGATCTACGTTGCTGTTGTTTTTGTGGTAATAGTCGAAAATGTTGTTATCTGTAGAAATCTGAACGCCACCATGCTGTTCGCGATGGGTCGAAGGAAGCCCTGGCTGTCTGCGTGGTTTGAGTGACACATTTATTTAATTAATATTGTAGCGGTAGGTGGTGTGTATGGTTGCCCNTTGCCATCGGGGTTGGGTTTTTGTCGCTTGGCAACGACGTTGTAAAACAAGCCAACTCACTTTGTGAACTCGGCAACCAGGTTACCGTTTGTTTTTTATACCTCCGGTTTTTCTTTTTTGGCGGTAACCATAATAATGGTGGTCGAGTAGATCATGTTGTGCGGGGTCGAGCACCCTCACTCCGCGCAAGGGGGATGATCGCACCACGTTGTGTTAAAATGGTCAAGCACCCTCGAGGCAGTTACACAGTGCTTACAACTGTTTCTGCACCAGAAAATAAATCAAGTCATACGCAGCTGTCATCCGTACGCAAGGAAGTAAGCCTAAGATGCCGAAAACCCGTTGCAGGATGCAGCGCACCCTTCATGCGACTCGCCGAATACCTCNCCCCCCCCCCCCCCCCGGTGTTTGCCATCGGGATTGGGTTTCGTCGCTTGGCAACGACGTTGTAAAACAAGCCAACTCACTTCGTGAACTCGGCGACCAGGTTACCGTTTGTTTTATATATTTCCGGTTTTTGTTTTGGCGGTAACCATAATGGTGGTCGAGTAGAT